TTAAAGGTGAAAAAGGTAAAAAGTTGTCATCCTTCTGTCTGTTACCTAGGCTCAGTTTCTCTCCCTGGAGCTAAGCATGTTACCATTTTGGGGTGTGTCTTTCCAGATATTTAATGTGTATACAAACATACATGCACACATATTCTCTCCTTTTCCACAAAATTAGCGACTACATTATGCACGTTGTTCTGCCCCATGCCTTTATTTTTCATTGCACGATTCTTCTTGGCTTGTTTCAGGGCTAACCTTCCATTAGGTGGGTGTTCTGTACTGTAATCTCTTTATTCAGTCCACTACTCACATGCTTGGGACACACGGGAAAGAACATCCATAGCTGCACAGTCCAATACAGTAGCCCCCAACCCCAGGTGGCGATTTAAATGTAAATTAATTCAAATTAAGTAAAATGTAAAATTCAGCTCCTGGGGCAGGCTAGCCACATTTGTAGAGCCACATGGGGCCCGTGGCTACCACCCTGGCAGCGCAGACGCAGAAGTTTCCACTGGGCTCTCACCGTGATACATTCCTAGAAGGGAATCACGAAACCACAGGGCTGTGTTATCTGGAGCACTGACAGACGTCGCCACATTTCCCTCTGAAGAGGCTGTAGCTATTAAGCGCTGAGGGAGAGCATGCTCTTGTTTCAGAACAATTGTGTGGAATGTTGGAAAGAACAAGAAACGTTCTCTGCGTACTGATTCCAAGGACGTTTTGTTTCCTTGTCAGTGCCCACGTGGCTCACACCAGACGCTGCTATTCCCAACTTACGGTGGGCACGCCTGTCCCTGGGCTTGCACAGTGCTGTCTCCCTCTGAGGCCTGGCCTCCTGCCACCTGGCTGAGGTCTGCTTCTGCTCAGCTGTAAGCCCCTCTCCTCTGCAAGCTGCAGACATTGCAGGGGAAAGTGCTAATCTTCTCATACATTTATCTCCCATGGCCAGGAGACAGGCTTTACAGGAAAATTCAGCACACTTGGCCCAATCTCTATTTCCTCCCCTCCTCCCCTTGCCCCTGTCCCTCAATCCCCATGTCATCATGACCTCCATGTTGCCAAACTCTAGGGGCAGTCCTTATCTTGCAGAGCTCCTACCTGACCTCTGGGCAGGATCCTACATTCTGACTGTCCTTCCTTCTTGAAGTGCTGGCCCCTTTGGCTTCCAAGACGCCACACCCCCAGCCTCCCAGCCCTCTGCCTGCCTCCTCCTCACAGCGTGTACCAGCCTGGGCGTCTTCTATTCCTCACTCTGTACATTTTTCCTGGGCTGTTGCATCCGACCCTGGCTTTGACTGGATCTCTACATTTGGGGAATGATGGCAACCCATTTTAATTTCCATTTCCTTGTTTACTAGTAAAATTGAACATCCTGTCCTGGTTTTTGACCTCTTGCCATGTCTTTCTTCCCTCATGAGGCAGGGTGTTAGTGGAGTAGGTACTAGATGTTAAATAGATTCCAGTCCAGCTCATGGCTCCCGGGCTTTAGGCCCCGCCCCGCCAGGGATGGGTGTCGGTGTGCTCCCACTCCTCAGCACCCCAGACATGTTCCACTTAGCAGTGCTTCTCCTCTGAAGTGCCTGCTATCCATCACTTCCCTCTTCCTAAACTGTCCTTCCCTTGCTCTGGGCCACTCCACTTCTTTTTAGGGACTTTGAATCTCGTAGACTTCTCTGTCCCTTTCCCTGACATCCACTTTGGGGCTTCAGCATCCAGATAAGTTTCTTTGTCCACATCTCGTAATTATTGAACTTAAACCTCAGTGACTTTTATTTCGACTTCATTCAGATACCTATGTACCTAACTTCATCTTCTGCAAATGAGCTATCTCTAAAATTTCTAACTCTGAACTTCCTCTTTGACCACAGCCTTCTATACACCCACCTCCCTTTCTCCATATCTGTTGAAACTGCTCTTCATCCTTGGCATGACTGCAAGTTTTTTGACCCTTTCTTTCCCTCTAATCCTTTGGTAAGCTATTACCTCCATTCTTCTCCCTATCTGGTCTGAACTCCATGACCCATCATGCCATCTAAGCCATAGCCAGTAACCTGATCATCTCTCTCCCAGTTAACTTTGCCTGCTTTGCCAATTTCCCATCCTAAGGACATCCATGCACCAATTTGGTTGTCCTGTGTGCCATCTCTTACGCAAAGCCTTCCCTTCCCTCCATTAAGCTGAGGGGATCACTCTTTCATGCAAACATAAATAACATTCATGCCTCTTTCATGGAACTTCGTTCTGTCTCAGCCACATACTTGTCCCACCTCCTTAGACTGACTGTAAGCTCCAGGTAGTGACATCTCCAGACTGCTGTTCCCACTGCCTGCTTCCGTGTTTGTGGACTAAACCATATTGGTTCAGTTTGGTTGAATGGGCAATTTCTGCTTTGGCAGTGACCGTTCCATCACTTTGGGCTGATAGGACCCAGATTTAAAAAGCAATGTGTCTTTCCAGAATGGGAAAAAATGAATAGAAAAAAAGAATAAAAGAGCCTGGGGGAAGGTATAGATGCATTTTTGTAATGGACATGTCAGAGCCAGGTTGCAGGCAGATACAATTGAGGAATGGTTTACTCCCAAAGTACTAAGTTATATTCTGCTAGCGTTCAGGGACTCTACTGTTAAACAGGCTTGTTTGGGCAGTGACTGTTCATCTTGGTGTTAGGTGATGGCCTTGACTGGAAGATGTGAAAACACCACATCTCTGCTGAAAGGAAAGAAATTGCATTTGTCTTTTTGCTTGCGTGGGAGAGGATGGACTTCCCTTCCGTAGCCAGTCCTGTGCAACCAGCTTCAGAAGCAAAGCTACAGATGCATCCATAGAAATAATCTGAGGCCCTGCTGCCAGCAAACAAGTAAGCCTGTCATACAAGCTGATGCCAACACCCTGCTCACGCAAATACTAGGCAGACCCAAATGCTAGGCTCTGCCTTTCTCTGCCTGGGGGAAGTGCAAACACACATTCCACCCACTTGTTTCCTTAGCAAGGAGAGACCTGCTGCTGAGAGGGCTTGTGGTGGCCCCAGATTTTGGATTTTAGGTAAACAATAACCACCTTAATAGGTCATCTTCACCTAATTTGGTGAAGATGCCTTTGTCTCCCAAGGTGGTGGGGGTGTCAGTCTTTGAGAAGATAAATGATTAAGAGATAATACAGTTTAAGGAAGCACCAGTTTAACTGGCCTCCCAGAGCCTGGAAATAACTCAGGGAGAGCTTACAAGAAAGGAGCCTGCAAAGGAGCCTGCGTTTTCCAGTACATGTCAACACCAGCTAGCTTGGGGGGTTATGCCAGGCGTCCACTTCTGGGCCCAAGACTGTTGATCCTTTAGGGTCATCCGTGTCCTGTCTGTGTTTGTAGGCTCTCCTTTGTAGGCTCTCCTGGGCAGGGCCTTCCTTTTCTTGTGAGTAAAATAACTTCCTCAAACTGTGGTGTTGGAGGATTTCACTTTCAGGCATCATAGAAGCCTCCTGCAGTTGGCTGTTCTCCACGTGCCCCTGCAGACCCACTCTAGCCTGGGAGCCTGAGCCCCCAGGGACCACACCACCGGCTCCCCCACCTGCCTGCTTCCTGTTGGGTTCAGCCAAGGGTGACCCCAGCTAGGAACCAGAGGGTGGGAATAGTCAGGACATTCCTTCCCTTTCCCTCTGCCCCAGGCCATGGTTTTGGTAGCTCCTGCCAGGTTCTGGGAACTGCCCCTTCTCTGGTGGGAGGGGCTACACGCTCCACCTTCTTTGTTTATTCCTTCAACCCTCCTCCCCTTTGGAAAGAACCTCCACTCAGCTTTTCTCTTAAACCTTCTGAACTGTTTCTTGTTCAGGCCCTGACTGATGAACTGTCCAATTGCTCCAAGCCCTCTGACCACCTGAATAAAGGCTATACCATATCAAATCGCAAAGTGCAATTCTCAAGAGCTCCATGTTTTTATGCATTGTGGTTTTTATGTAGTTTTATGGTGAAATGGTGTAACCCCTTCCAACACCGGCATCCAACACCAAGTCCAGTTGGGCTGCTGTAGTCACTGGTCAAAAGATAGCCTGCCTAAGCCCTGCTAAGGGTGAAGGAGCAAGCAGGGAGGCACTTTTTCTTCTAAACTCATGTTTGGGTTCATAATCTTTCTTTCTCTAGCCCTAACACAGCCTCTTGCCTATTTAGGGGGCATCTGTGGATGTCAGCACACCCAGTTTAGGCAAGTCTCCGTGTGGCTGGCTGGGCACCATGCACAGCTCCACAGCGCCTTCTCTGCACATGCCCCGGAGGAGCATGCCTTTGTGCCTGGCCACTCCTTTTCAGGCTCTGGTATGACTCTCACCCTGGGCCTTCTGTCTGAGGAAGAGGGGTCTCTCCTGTCATGTCTCTAGAGCCTTCACCTTTGGCTCCTGGGCTGCTTCCAGGGACCTCAGAGCCCCAAATGAGCAGCCAGTCCTGCCTGGGGGCCCTGAGCTGTGCCTACCTGTCAGCACTATCCAGCTTCCACACCAACTCGCTTTCCTGCATTTCCTAATTTGGGCTTTACTCAAGCCCATCCCCCATCCCCCCTATTTGCTAGAGAATCCTGTTCTGTACAACTATCATCCCCGCTTTAGGGCCATTCCCTCTTAGATCCTGGGACTGCCAAGCCCATGGAGTGTAAAAGATGACTGTCACCTTAGTGTGAGGAATCTCTGATTGTCTACTCACAGAAAACTCTCTTGTGTTGTTAGGGCTAACTTTAAACATGCCAACTAACGGTGAAATCCTCTATCAGAATGCAGAGGTAGGTAGCAAAAAGCTCTTGATTTGGGGCCAAATTACAAGTTGTTATTAAGAAAAGGTGCTTTGGAAACCTTAGTTAAGGGGCTACCAAAGAAATATTAATATTTAAAACCTAAAAGAGGATATCAGGTAAATAGCAGCTGACATTTACATTTCGACCCTTCCACCTTGGGTCTCACTTCTCTTTTTCAGGAGGCTGTGGGGATTGCTGTTAGTAATGCTAGAAGCAAAAAACTAACAATTACAACAGACGGTATGTCCAGGTATTCTTTTATTCTCTCAGAGCAGACATTGGAGCCTGGGCCATGCTGCCCCTGTAGATCCCTCACGTCTATGAAGGCGAAGCGCACTTCTGGGACACACCATCTCCAGTTGGAAGCACAAGCGAGGGCCACTGTGTAAGGAGGCAGCGCTCTCTCTTACACCTGAAGGATCTCCAGCAAGCACTGCTCTGGAGACTGCTCTGACGGTGAGTTTTCTACAAGGTCCAAGTAGAGGCTGAGACTTGAGGTCAAGCTTCCTTCTCATCACAGCCTCCGTGCCTTCCTGGGGCGGCAGCCATTGTGCGGGATGGGGGTGTTGTCTGTGATTGAGATCACTTCCAGGCCCCCCATGGTCAGTCCCTTGATGGCAGACTGGAAGGAGCAGAAGGAAGAGTAGAAGGGCATGGTTCCAGAAATGACAGCCCAGCTTCTCCAGACAGGGCTCGGAGAGGGGCCAGGTGGGGTGGGGAAGGGAGGAGAGCAGGAGGCCCCCTGGCTTGATACCTACAACCCCAATCCCATCCTATTCTTACAAGGTCTCCACCCAAACCCCATAACCAAATTCTCACAACGTACCCCTCTCAAACCGCACCACCCACTTTCACCTTGTGCTTTATGATCTGAGAACAAAGCTCCTTGTGGACCCTGGCATACCTTAAGTACCATTTCTGTAGCTTTCCTGAAGCAGTTCCCTTTGCCTGCATGTACCCCCTCTTCCCCCCCTCCAATACCTTATTATTCCTGCAAAGTCAGAGATATGTCACCTCTTTGGGGAATCTAGAGATCATCCCAGCTAACGATCGTTAGGAAAGATTATCCTTGCTGGGTTCGGGCTCCTCCAATGGGCTCACAGCACCCTGGGCACAGGCTTTACCACTGCACTCAGCAGGATGTCCTGAGGGATCTGCACCACCTTCCCATTCCCAGTGTCCAGCACACAGCAGGCACTCAGTAAGTGTCTGACAAATTAAACTAAGTGATCGAGGCTTGCTTTGAGGGGCTTAGCAGGTTATAGGAACAAGAAACTTTGAGCCACCATGGAAATCCACTACAGACTGCTTTTCCACTCTCTGTACTTGGCTCTCAAGCCCCAACTTCTTTAAGTAAGAAGAAAGCACAAAAACTGGGGAGAATGGTGGTCACTTACCAAGCGCCCCGGCCCCAGGCCTTTGACCACAACTCGGACGTAAGTCACACCCTTTGCTGTAGCTTTCTGGAGAGAAGCAGCAGGTGGTTAGTGTCCCAGAGAGAGAGAACTACTGTACCTAAACCTCTAGCTGCCACCTGGAGCCCCAGGGAAAGGGCATCCACAGAGGTGAGCAGGGAGGAAAGCAAAGGACAGATGGCAGCAGTGCAGGACAGGCCCAGCAGAGACCTCAGAAGCCACAGAATTAAAGTGACTGTGATCCGCTTAGCCCAGGCCTGCACCGCCACCTAATGGAGATCTCTAAATATCACTTGGATTTTTCTCAGGTGGGCAAATGTACAGTTTCAGACTGTGAAGGGCCACCCTGGACTTCAAGGCAAACCTAAACATTTGCTCATCATAAAAATTGGAAAATACACAGAAGTCACTCATGACCCACCATGCAGAACCCACTGTGAACACTGATATATTTCTTTTAATGGTACATGATCTAGCCATCGTTGGGTGTTGACAGCATTTTAGTTTTTGATGATAATACATAGCAGTCAATTTTTTGGGTGTCTTCCTTTGTTTGAAGGTCAAAGTTTTCCTTCAGGAAACATGTCTGGTTTGGCAGAGTCTGAACATTTGTAAGGCCTGTGCTCCAGCAGCAAGTATGCAGGCTTCGGCCCCCGACCAACCTGAGTCCAGAGCAGGGAACTGAACTGGCTGCGTGCCTCTCAGCAAGCCGCACGCTCAGAATCTCAACTGGCTCTTCAAAACATGGGTAATACTCAAGGTCTTTTGAAGATTCAAGACAATGAATATAAAATGTCCGGCACATAGTAGATGCCCCATAAATATACCAAAGCACACAGCCAGTTTGCTTCTAGAAAGGTCTGCAACAATTCATACTGGAACTGGTAGCATATGAGATCCTCACCATACCACATTCTTTCCAAATAGCCTATTATCACCAGCTCCAGCCCACCTTTAAACAGAGGTGGGCTTTGGTTCTCAAGCCTTTAGTACCTTGCTCTTACCTGCTAGGATTCTAGCATGAACCAACAAATGCTCCACCTCTAATGAAGCTGAGAGAAAGAAAAAGGGAAACCCTTTCAGACCGCTTCAACCCCCCGCCCCCAATGTTGGGCCATCTAACAAGGGTTAAGCCCCTTGCTTCTGAATGGCTAGTTTAATGAGAATTCTCCACACAGTGATCAGCCGTGCGGAAGGTGGAACACGCCACGGAGGGAACCGGAAGGAACACTTACTGCTGCGGCAGCTATGCCTGCTGTCTGTGCCGCGATGCCTGTGCCCTTCTTGGCGTTCCGGAATCCCTCCGTGCCACAGGAAGTACGGGCAAGGGACTGGTTAGCAGCAGAGACTACCTGGATCTGCGTGCTGAGAAAAGCAGGGGAGGCACAGGATGTAACTATTGTAAGGGAAATAAGGGAATGCTAACTTAGGCCCTGAGAAGTCTGGGAGAGAAAGAAAAAGAAATTCAGTTTGCTTCCACTTTGAGCTTCTCAAATGAACGTGTTTTGAACACTTCCTATAGGAAGTGTCAGGAATGGTCAGAAACCTCCCCTAAAAAATCACTTAATCTAGAGAGCTCCATAATGTAAAGGTAGTTACTGGGAAGAAGCAACACTAAATACACGCCTTCATCTGCCCCTAGTACATTCTCTCCAACTCTTGAGCAAAACCAGGAAACATTACTCCAAAGGAAAGCAAAGAAATTGCATAGATGTGATAGGCCCAAACTATTTCACATTTTCATGAAACTTGAATATACTTTATAAAGACAGAAGGCAGTTTCCCCGAATGAGAAGGAGTGAGCCTGGGGGAACCGCCACATTAGCACCACCATGCAAGCACTTGGGCACCCCAACTTCTACCCCAGGAGTATTCATGGGGACCTCCTGGTGCAACAGAAAGAAACCCACAGGAGGCCTGCCCAGGTGCTTCCTGCTCACTTGTTGTAGGTTGCTTTAATGTGTGCGATTGGGATTTCCTCGAATTTCTTTCCTGCCCATCTCAAAGAGCTCTCTTCTCCTGGAACGGGAGGGTAAATGCTGCAATTAGAAAAAAACATTTTATTTAAAATTGTGACTTTTTAAAATCAAAGAAATATATCATGGTTTTTTTAAAAAAAATCAAATAGTACAGATGAATCCATAATGAAAAACAACAGGCCTCTGCCCCCATCCTGTTCCTGAGGTGGCTGTCCTCACCATTCCTTTTATATCCTTCTGGCTACTGCCATGTCTGTGATTCACCACTGTGATTATGAGGGTATTTCTTGTAAGACATGTCTAGTCTCAGACAAGTCTAAGACTTTCTGCTACAAGAAGATTTGCATTCATACTCTGCATCTTCCTTGTCCCTGCTAGTATAGTCATATCACTATTTTCAAGTCCTCTATGCAGCAGTTCCCAACCTTTTTGGCACCATGGAAGACAATTTTTCCATGGACTGGTGGTGGCATGGAGGATGGTTCCGGGATCTTTCAAGCACATTACATTTATTGTGCTCTTTATTTCTATTATTATGATAGTATATAATGAAATAATTATACAACTCACCACAATGCAGAATCAGTGGGAGCCCTGAGCTTAGACGGTCCCATCTGGGGGTGATGGGAGACAGTGACACCCAAAGTGTGTTGCTTATGTCTAGTCTACTCCGTAATCTCAGTTTGGTTGCTGTCACTGCAGAAAACCCTGCTTCACAAGAAAAGGTGTTAGAAATGGAAGCAGGCTTTTCAGTGCTTCTCTGGCAATGTCAGGATATTCCACCTTGACTTTAATCCAGAACATATGGAGATTTGAAGTTGTCTCAAACATACTTTTAAGGCCACTGTCATTTGTGATCTCAAGCAGTTCACCCTCTTCTAGCATGGACAAAGTCAATTCACCTGGCTTAATCACAAATGGGTCATGGATCTATTCCTTCCCAGTTCAGGGATCTTTTGTGTTTGGGAAGTAAGTAATGTTCAAACTCTTTTGAAAGCTGAGATAGGTGATCATGTACCAGCTGGGAGAAAGAAGGCCTTAGCTCAGTCTTTTTAAAAATCTCTGCTAAAGTTGGAAACATGTCAAAAATCCCAATGTTCAGTCATTACCCCCATAATTCCAGTTTGGCTTTGAATGCAGCTACTTTATCTGCCGACTTGAACACAGTTGTCATTCTCCCTTGAAGTGACAGATTGGTCTGTTGAGCAGGCTGAATGTGTCACACAAGTAAGCAAGTTTCAGTGACCCATCCTGTGTCACTGAAATGTGCTGCCGGTGGTGACTGTTTTTCTAAAAGAAATCTCTGGAGCTGCTCTTATTAACTCAAAAACTCTGGCCAGTGATCTACCTTTAGAAGCTACTTTACTTCTGTGTGTAAGAGAAGATGTGTGTGCTCTGTGTTCATTTCCTCACAGAGCTGGGTGAATAGACATGAGTTAAGGGCATGTACTTTAATGTGGTTGACAATTTTAATCACAACCTACAAAATGTTTAGTTCAGGTGACATTTTTCAGCCAGCCAGCATTTCTCTATGGATGACACAGTGCATAGACTCACATTCAGAAGCGACCTCTTTGACCTGAGTAGTGAGACCAGAAAGCCATCCAGTCACGGCAGCCGCTCTGTCAGTGCATGTACCCACACAAAATGATCAGTTCAGTTTTTCTGATATGAAATCATTTAGAGATTTGAATAGTTCTGCAGCTGAGGTGTTGGCTGGCAACAAGAGTGCACATAACATATCCTCACGTAACATATCTTCCTTTTTCCTCCTGAAAAATATATTGCACAAAAACAAGCATTGTTGCCTTGTTGTTAGCATTGATAGACTTGTCAACCTGGATTGTATATCATGGTGACTCATTAATCCTAACAATTGTGCCTCAATTCTATTTCAGTAATTCATCTAGTCATGGTGCTAGCTAAAAGAGGAATATGTGCCATCTCTTGAACTGTGGCATCACCTAAAAGTTCATAGCATATGCCCTTAGCAGGCAGGAACAATTCTTCGCCAATAGTAAAGGGCTTCTTAGCTTTAGCAATGTGTTAGCCACTAGGAGTGATGCTGTCAGTGCAGACACATTTGATGAAGTGGTGGCCTTCAATAATTGCTTCTGTTCTTCATGTTCACATTTTTTGCTTTTTAAAAACTCCAAAGGCCTGTCTTTTAATGCAGGGTGCTTGGTCTCCATGTGGTGAAGCAGTTTTGAAGGTTTCGTGGCTTCCCTGGATAGCTGGTTGCCATATATTATACGAAGCAGGCTTGGAGTATGTGAATCACCTGTTGCAATGAACTTGTAATTTAAGTAGGACTTTTGGTATTTTCTTTTCAATACAGCTTTCATTTTGTTGGAAGCTTCTGCTGTTTTATCATTGGATCTTTCCCCCTTTTCAAAGAAACTCTCCAGTGATATTTGTTTTTTACTCATTTTTGCTAGGGTTAGCTTGTGGGCTTACCAAAACTGTGACCGAGACAAGTGTGCAGTGTGGGAAAGAGGCACAGACAGAAGTGGTAAATAAATAATGGGCGGGCCATGCACGGACTAGGTGTTGAATTCTGACAAAAGCCTGCCACCAGATGCAGCTTAGTTGTCACCTGCCACTCAATGAGATAGGGTTTTGATATGAGTCTGTGAGCAACTGATTATGGTCTCTGTGCAGTCAAACCTCTCTGCTGATGATAATCTGTATTTGCAGCCACTCCCTGCACTAGCATCACCGCCTCAGCTCCACCCCGGATCATCAGGCAGTAGGTTCTCATAAGAAGCGCACAACCTAGATCCCTCGCATGCGCAGTTTACAGTAGGGTTTGCGCTCCAGTGAGAATCTAATGCTGCTGCTGATGTGACAGGAGGCGGATCTCGGGCTTGCCAGCTGCTCACCTCCTGCTGTGCAGCCCTGTTCCTAACAGGCTGCGATGGGAGCTGGGGAACTGATGGGGCTTGGGGACCTGATGAGGGTTGGGGACCGCAGGTCTACAGTCCACTCTTTCTGCAATTTAAAAAATAAGGTCAAACCTGTGTTTCTTGTTTCATCAACCACAGATAATGTCTTGACTCTATTTTATAAAAAAGAGATATAATATTTTAATACTCATAGTATCATTACCATAAAAAAATTAAGCATCCTTCAAATAGAAGATAGCCAACTTTTTGTAAAGGACCAGAGAGTAAATATTTTAGGCTTTGCTGGCCAAGAGGTTTCTGTCTCAACTACTAAACTCTGCTGATGTATCACAAAAACAGCCAGACAACAGTAAATTAGTAGGTGTGGCTGTGTTCCAATAAAAATCTGGTGGTTTGCCACCCCCTACCTTAGACCAGTAGCTCTCAATGCAGGCTGAACACCAGCCAGCTGTGAAGCATCCAAATGCGTAAGCTCCACCCTAGATTCTGGATGGGGACTGGGAACCTACCTTTCAAATGACCCAGGAGAATTAGATGTGAACTTAAGGTTGAGAACACATTGTACTGAGTTCAGGATCTTCCACGGTCTTAGCCCAAGCTGTTCTCTGGCTATCTCTAGGTAAGCCTCTTTATTTTCAGATGGAGCAAATCAGGGGGGAATAGGGAAATAGGGTTAGCAAGGGCAGCCAACCCTTGGACTCCACAGATCTGCCTCAGTTCAGAGCTTAGCTGATGATGCTATGCTTTCTTTTTAAATTCAAACACAATCATCCTTCAGCTTTGGAGATGGCAATGAACCTGCTGTTGCACTTGGCCTACACACAAAAATCAGATTCATGTTCGCACCCCCCACAGCCACCTGAAAGACAATGCATTCCATTTTAGAAAACACATTATAATCTATCTCCCTACCAGCCCCTTCCCTACCTGCTTTCCTACAGGTATTTCAAAAAACAAAAAACCCACAGTGGTATTCAAAGGTTACAAGTGTATTCTTTAGAAATGATTTAGAACTTCATCAAGTTGTCGGCTTATCAGTTTATAATGCCCAGATAGAAAGTGGATGAGTCTCTTAGATGACACTGATGTTTAAAAGATGATTATTTCTCCATTGATAATCTCCCCTACTGACTTGGGAGTCAAAAAACACAAGTTGGAATGTAACCATTGTAATGCCTTTATGTATATCAAAGTTTGGAACTAGGAAGGATTTGCAGCTTGAACCATTAATTAAAGAAACCCAAGATCAGGCCTTTAAATTTTCCAGGTCTGATGTACGAACCAAGTGGTTCACCCCAAGAAAGCCAGAAAAAGGAAAGACAAAACTTTCTGGCACTGGTCTGCTGTCTCTTCACACCTAGCCTCACACCATGGAAATGTAGACAGACAACCCATTCTCTAATTGCTGCTAGAGACAACTTTTAAAATTGCAAATACATGCAGAAAAATGTAAAGATCGTATTTCTTGGTTTACTTTCCCTTTACAATATTCTTGTCTTAATTGCTAGTGATTTCAGTGATATTCTTCCAACCCCTTCGCTTGTTGCTTAACCTCCTTTCCTTCAATTATCACAGGTCCTGTGTCCTACCTTGACTAATTACTTGTATGGTCATACCCAGCCCTTGTCATTGCTGATACCTGCAACCCCATCACAGCCTAGAATTCAAGCACCATACTCCCCGACCACCACTTCCTGGTGTACCCACTTGCTCCTTGTACTACCCCCACTCCAGGAGCCCGTCAATCCCACAAGGACCTATCACCACCGATCCTACCAGCTTTCTACTATCCTTCACACTCCTCATGGCCTCACTCCTCTCCTCAGCCAGACTACATCTCATGGCCAATCATGATAATCACCCCCTTGCATACAGCCTTAACTCTCTGCACGTCCCCCTTCCCTTTACTTCATTGTACTCTCCTGACAAACCCCGAACCCTGCCTAAATCCAGCCACTCTGAGCCTGTGCATGTACCTGCACAGCTGGCTAAAGAACAATACACAGCAGTGCTGACTGGTTTTTCTCTACTGTCAGCATTTCTCAACCTTAGTGCTGCCGACATTTTGGGCAAGGTAATTCTTTGCTGTGGGAGGCTGTCCTGTGAATGCTAAGGTATTCAGTAGCATCCCTGGCCTCTACCCACTAGATACTG